TTGGAAAACCGGTGTTGAAGTCACTACCACCATCGCCGATTATGGACACTACAGTCTTCCCCCGTTGAATTTCGGCCTTCACCAGCGGCAAAAGGTCATTGGTGTGTGATGCAGCGGTACATTTAGTCAATGGGCCTCTGTTGACAATGGCGACCGGTCCACTACGGTGAACATGGTATTCAATGCGGCCATACTCGTCAGCTGTAAGTTCAGGGGGGTTTGGTATTCTGAGCAACATATATCCACTTGGGGTAATTAAGTTACCAGCTCGAGCCGGGAAGTCGTGATCGCTATAAATTGGTCGATCATTCGTTGGGTAAAAACGGCGTATCTTAGTGCGTCGATCACCTGCAAGCACATCCTCTCCTAAAAAATAATAATATTAATCTTTGAAAAAAATGAACGGGAGCAGTGGCGGCGCTAGCGGGGTCCAGAAGGGCAAAGTACCCCCCCCGTCGGTCGTCGGGCAAAAATCAAATCTCGAGCGCCGAACTTCAAGCATGCCTGTGTTTATTATTTAGTTATTAGTGTTTATTATGATCGCATGTCCCCGAAAAGGAGACTCAACTCGCATATGGTTTTCTATCAAATTATCATTTCTATTTGCTATAAAATATTTACAAAAGTATTATTGTAGTGGTAGAAGCACTACATTTGTAGTTATATATTTACTGTATTTTACATTTTGTCAATCGCAGGAAAATTATGAAAAAAATTAATGAACATCCAGCCAGTAGCTCAACTCACCAATTTTCACTTTGTTTTTGTTGTCAACTGAGAAGATGGCACACTGTTCCTCGTAAATGGCACTCATCTGCATGACATACTTAACTCTGGCATTGTAAAAATGGGCGTCGGAGTTGTCCTTCATTTTACTGTTTTCCTTTCGGGGCACTTTGGCGTCGATGTAACCCTTAAAACGTTTGGCGGTTGTTCTACCAGAATGGGGACTTACAAATAGTCGATGAACTGTATCAACACCTGAAAAAAATATATTTACTATGAATAATGTATAGTGAGTGGTTATTGTAAAATGAACTTTTTATCTTCCTTATTTATAATATTATTATATTGTTTTAAGTATATATATATAAGTA